GCACATCAGGCAGCAATGGCTCAACTATTAGCATGGCTCAAAAGAAGATGACCCCATGGGAAATATGAAGGATGAAGTGAACGATGTGGGCTCGTCCATTGCGTGCCCTCGCACCTCAGCTTCACACCGAGTCACAGCGGGGTAAGCACGGAACTGCATCTTATCAGGGATCATGTCGGATAGTTCAGGGCTGTACGGTGTCCTCTGGCTAGAATTGTGAGGTGTGTCAGACGCGGCTTGCATGCATCGGAAATGTAGGGACGTCTTGAAACCTCGATGGTCGATTTGTCCAGGTGTGGTTACGTATCCGACCATGCCGGAAACTGGAGTGCCGGATAGGCTGATCTTGACTGAGCCAGAGCCTCGTCGGGCAGACAAGAGCCAGCTTTGGTTGTACTCGAAATACTGCCTACAGGTACCTCGAAGGATTCTTGTGTGTGGCTGTGGTTTACCTCCCGTCATTCGGTCCCGTAGCGGTCATTTCCATGCTATTGGCAGATTGAGTGGGTCCATTTGTTCGTCTCGCAAAGCCGAGCGGAAAGCACGATGAATTTCTGCACCCAGCCTACAGGTAGGCACCTACTAGCTACAACGCCCGACTTTGGACATCTATCCGCGTCCCCGTTGACATCTAGAAACACTCTCTCAAACTACAAGGAAAGCCGTATGGGCTTATTCCTTAACAGACAAGAGATGGAGAGGTTTCGTCAAAGATGATTTATTGTTCATGCTTTTGCTGTACTGGCGCATCACTTCAGCTTAGCGTTGTCTTCCCTAGAGATAACAGGCACAGCCACAACATCGCAGGAGTACAGCGATGCACACCAGGATTGTGGCCCAACGTACCTAAATGATCAAGCATGAATCGAGGTTCTCGAGGTACCTACCTAAGGTACCTTATCCAACATGCGAGTGCTGCCTGCATCCCGCCGCCCTGCCGGGCGGGGTAGTGTAGCGGTTACAGTAGGTAAATAGAGGTACGTACCGTAGTACTCGCAGACAGCCTCACCAGTCAGTGAAGAGGAAGGCGCGCCTGGTGGCAGCTCACCCAGGCGTTGCGCAGTCCCTTTTCCTCCGTTGCTCACTACGCCCGGATTCACCTTGTGAGGAAATGCTAACGCGAATATATACCGCGTTTCCTATCATACTGGGACACTTTGCTGCTTCTCGATTACTGGCGTGTGAGTTTCGGCCAGCTTCTCAAGTAGTTCTGAGGTCAGGTCTGCGCTGTGATATAGAACGGCCATCCAGAATGGCGCAGTCAATAGTACTATTCGAACTCACGGCTACCGAGGCACTACAGCTACTCAGCAATGGAACCATCACGGTTGAGGAGTATGCACGCTCTCTGCTCGGTCGAATCGAAGAGAGGGGTGACACGGTGAAAGCGTGGGCATATCTTGGTTAGCACTATGATAAATTTCGTTCATATCTGCATGGAATCGTGGGGAAAGCCGTCTAACATAGCTTCATCAGATCCGGATCTAGTGCTGAGCGAAGCGCGGAGGCTCGACCAGATTCCCCTCGAGCAGAGAGGTCCACTGCATGGAGTGCCGGTGGGCATTAAGGATGTCATGGACACCAAAGGTACGACAAGGTGTCTTTCGGTAGTTGGCCGAGCTATAACTCATCGTATGTGCCAGACATGCCCACGGAGTACGGCTCCCCCATCTTCAAAGGACATCGGCCATCGTGTGATGCGTCTTCTGTTGCAATTTTACGAGCCGCCGGCGCTCTCATCTTCGGTTAGTCATAGGCATACTTATACTGTGTTTGAGTTCTAATCTAATGTGTAAGAATAGGCAAAACAACCACAACCGAGTTCACCGTGACCAATTCCGGGCCAGAAACAACGAATCCGCACGACCCCAACCGCACCCCGGGTGGTTCGTCTTGTGGCTCTGCGGCTGCCGTAGCCGACTTGCAGGTACCCCTGAGCCTTGGTGTCCAGACTGGGGGCAGTGTCATCCGGCCAGCATCATACACCGGCACCTTCGCGATGAAGCCAAGCCACAATGCAATTTCACCCGACGGGCAAACGACTTTCTCCATCTCGTTCGACACCATCGGCTTCTTCGCTCGTAGCGTCGAGGACCTCGGACTCATCGCTGACATCTATTCCATCAAAGACGATGACCCGCCCGAGGATATACCCCTGAAGGAAGTCTCGGTGGCATTGGTGAAGACACCGTTCTGGTCCAAGGCAGGCGAGGGTACAATAGCCGCCGTGGAGCAAGCAAGCACCATTCTCCGTAGCCACGGCGTAACAGTGGAGGAGGTCAGCCTGCCTCCGGACATCGACAACGAGCAGTCTCTAGCGCGGTTGCAGAAAGTTATTACCAGTGGTGAGGCCCGAGTAGCGTTTCTCAGGGTATACCGGCAGGACAAGGCCAAACTTGCCCCTCAAGTTCGTCGGCTGGTTGAAAATTTCAACAATTTCTCGCACAAGGAGAGACTGGAGGCTCTGGACCGGTACGGAAGCATTCGGTCCAAGGTGGATGAAATTGCCGCCAAGTACACGGTCATTCTCACCCCCAGCGCCGTTGATGAAGCGCCTGTGGGACTTGACGATATGGGTAGCCCTATCTTCAACACTCTCTGGACGGTGAGTGCTCGCGGTATCGGATTGCAGAGTCCGTTGTGTATAGTGCGCTGACATGGTCATAGGGTTTGCATATGCCCGTCGTCAATCTGCCCGCGTTCAAGGGAGAGCATGGAATGCCAATTGGCGTGTCGCTCGTGGCGGGAAGATTCCGCGATCAGCATCTCCTAAATGTGGCTAAAGTACTTGCTGAGCCACTCATGGCTGAAGGTGGTTGGAGGACCAGACCCGACCTGGTAGCTAATGACAACGCCGTAGCCGGTCCTGGTCCCGATGACAAGGCCGGGGAAGATCACAAACTGTGATGTCGGTGAATTTTGACGTGGCGTGCGGGTTGGTGCACGCTTACCCATAGCACTCGGATGAGCCAAGAGTTGGTCAACAATAAACATGCAAGCACGAGTATATGCCACTGCAGCAAGTGTCTTCGTATACTCCAAACCAGTGTCCGACAAGCGCAGGTATGAAGAAAACAAAAAGTAGACCAGAATGTGTAGTCATTCGTGCCCTTCACGAACATCAGTACTTGACGTACTTGACGTACCTAGACAGAGTCAAGTATCAGGTTCTGGAATGCAAATGGCCCCTCACGGTGAATGCGAAAACCGAGATTATCGCCTAGATCTGGGTCTTTGAAGGATATAGTGGTGATGTTGGTGGTAGATGCCGCTCACAGGAAACCCATACAGTGACTTAAACCTTGACCCTATTACCCATCACACAGGCATATGCTCTACTCCCTCTTAAAACTTCTGGTAACTCCCATCAGCATTGTGCATTGTGGTAACCAACTTTGCCAACTCGTCACAGAGCCTCTTCATGAGAACTTTCGGATGTCTCCTTGTCGACACTGGTCAACTCCGCGACAACCTGCTCAACCGCCTTGAAGCAGTTTAATTCCTGCGACTGTTTCCGCAACACCTCGACCCTTTCCTGGTAACGAGGATCATCCAACACCGTCTCAATAGCCGTTCCCAATTGTTCAGCAGTAGGACTACCCGTCTTCAGATCCACCCCGGCACCAGAGTACGCCAACCTCTTACCATTCTCCGTCTTATCTTGGCCCTCCCCGGCAATGACCATCGGCACACCATTCGCTATACCGTGCTGAACTGCGCCATAGCCTCCGTTGTGCACCCAGACATCTGCAAAGGGCAGGACTTTATCATAGCTTGCGTGGTCCACAAGTCGCCTTATTGTTGGTAGCCCGGGACATGACAGCTGAAATTCAGGAGTTAGCACCCTCTTGTTGATGGCTAAGACAAAGACATCGGGTCTATCAGCCATCGCGAGACATGTCGGGATGACAAGCTGGTTTGGATCCGTTTCCACCGTTCCCTGAGCGACGACAACAATCTTCTTGCCCGCCAAAGCGTTCAAATTGAGATCATATGCCCATAAGCTGTGCAGCGCTGGTCTGTCTGGCCCCTCCCCTGGGATGGTCCCAATGAACCGGAAGTTCTTCGGCCAGTCTGTCCTAGGGTAAAAGAAGTCCGGCACCCCAAGCTCCAGGAACGCATCGAAAGCCTCATACTGCGAGCCATCAAACAACACCCCTTCGAACCCTCTGCTGGCCCCAGCCTCAATCAGCTTCATGTTGAGCAAATCCTTATACGCCACGGTCTTTTCCTTCCATATCTCCCACTTCCTCTGCGTCTCCCCCGCTCTCGTCAAGTCCCTGTCGAACTCCATACTGGAGCCAAAAGGAGGTAGATGTTTACTCCTGATCAAAGGCACCGTGACACTCAGTCCTACCACTGCATCCGGTCTCTTAATCCCCACTCCCATCTGAGCACCGTAAAACATGGGCAATATCCCATGGAACATCGCCTCCGCCACAACAACCACCTTCTTGCCCTGTGACTCCTCCTGCACCCTTCCCAGCGCCAGCTTGAAGCACTCCCATTGCTCTGGGATAGGATCGTACCACTGTTTCAAGACATCCACCATAGCCCTCTCCTTCCAGTTGCGGGAATAGTAATCCGGCACCGGCGGGACGGGGTTATCGAGTGAGTAGTAGACCTGATCATCGTAGTCTGCTTTGCCTCGTAGCGGGATGAATGTTGCGCCTGTGGATGTGATGCGTTTCTGGTGTGCCGTTGGGCCAAGGAAATAGACTTTATGGTGGCTGGTGACGAGATGCTTGGCGATCTTAATTGTAGGCGTGAGATGCCCAGTCAAGGGATGACAGACGAAGAGAATGGGCGGCTTGTTTAAGTCCATCTTCATTTTGCTTCCTTTCTTGCTTGCTGGTGACACGCACAGTCACAATGAAAGTGCGGGCAGGACAACCTTGTGCACTTGCGTGCCACGCGATTGCCAAAACATGGGTGGCTGTAGATGCTGAAAATGCTGCGTTCTGACGGACATATACTATGTGGCACGTTGAGTCAACAAGGCCCCCGTGGCGCAATGGTAGCGCGTCAGACTTCTAATCTGAAGGTTGCGAGTTCGAGCCTCGCCGGGGGCTTTACTTTTGCGCTCCACCAGAGCATCATATCTTATGTGCAAGCCTGTCCGCATCGCATCAGCTTTTTTTTGGTTTATGGCGACAGTAAAAGACGTTTACGTTTAATATCACAGTGAAGGTAGAAAACATGGAGGGATTCCAAGAGTTTCATCACAATAGGGGTCACTTATATGCAACGACTATTTCTTAAAGCCTGCCATCGCTTCACAGTTCGATACGCTGTGCCATTGCCTGCTTGCTCAAGCTAATATCATGCCCTGAACGCCAATCAATGCAGCGCGCCCTTTCTATCGCTAAATCCACATTCCTCTAGCAAGAATCTGCGCCGCAGAACCTCCTATAGTCATGCTACCTCATCGGTCTTTGTTCCTTGAGCTGGGTTCTCCGGAACCGCAGTACCGTAGACCTGTGATGATACGCCCTGGCCTTCGGATCCCAGTAAGCCACTACGTCAAGTACGACGAATGCCTTAGGCGTTTCTACCTCTACCATGCCCGAGACAATGACGGAACCCCTGGGCGGTATCTCTGGTCTCTTCCATTTCTTCACCAATGCCATCCAGCCGTGAGCCATAGCCTGTTTCACAAAATTCTGACCTGGGAAAGATTCGGTCATGACGTTTCCGGCTTCAGTGGCAGATGGCGATGCTGTCCCTAGCGCACCGGCCCCGCTCCCTCCTTGAGCTTGCGAGGCAGCCATAGCGGCAGGGTCCTTGATGTCTTGTGGTCGTTTTGTGGATTGCTGTCGCACCTGTTGAAGCATCCTCTGTATTTCCGGGTTCTGTTGCAGTGGTCCATATGGCGGGGCACCCGGAGGTAGACCAGCCGTCTTAGGCGCATTGGCTGGGATACCAAATATTGGCTTGGTGGTTGTTTCGTAGCCTAGCATTCTGCGTATCTGTTGATAGTGTAGCTGTGCTACTGTCTGCAAGGTGACCCAAGCTCCATTAGCAACGGCCACTGGCCATAAAACCCGAGTCGTCATGTTGGCAAGGCCCGAATCGACGGGTCTTTCGGCTATTCCTATGCTGTCGTCGGTGATAAGGATGCCGCTTCTGACGAACTCGAGAGGTGGCTGATATGGAAAGTAGATGTCCAACCATGACCGTCTAACCTTAACCGGCTTCCCCATTTTCATCACTAGCAGCTTATTAATGGTTAATTGTTGGACTATCGTTGAGGTTAAGGTACCTGTCGACGCAGCAGTCAGCAACGGCCAAAGACCGGACGGGTCAAGATCGGATTGGTAGCTCACTCCTCATCCGCTCCTGGTAGGGCATGTCGCGGGAGATGCGGACAAACTCTTGCCATTCCGGATCCTGTCCGGAGTATGGTGGTGGTTGAACAGAACGCATCGTTAATGGTAGGGGTATAAAGGTGTCGAGGTCCTCTTCGCTGAGTTCTTTGAGCTGGCGCGGCGTCAAGTGCTTTTCCTCTTCTTCCAACCAGGCGTATAAAGGCGAAAATACAACCGTCGTATAAACCTGATAGCTCACATAGAAGACGACAGTACCGATGAGGACGTTCCTGTTGCGCCAGACCAGTCAGTACTTTCTCAGATTGGCGCAAACCAGTCCATTGACCTTACCGTAACCTGAAGCGATTCCTGAGCCTTATACGCTGCACAACGACTGGTTTCTTCGGAGCTTGCAAAGATGCAAGTCTAGGTTGCCGCACAGGCACTATAGACCTCAGCCTCCCAAGTGTTCCCATAGGACCCCCCATCGCCGTAGGCGACGTCCTGAACAGCCTCGACATCTTGACGGGTACTCGGGCGCGCCCAACGGCGGCCGACTTGCGCTGACGGATACCGGTCCTGAGATACTAACTAGTCGTGGTTAAGAAGAAGCTCCTTCCACAGCTCCAAGGGCCAGAGCGCGCGCCAGGTTGGCTCAGATAATGGTATCGGTAATTCGGGGTCTAACAGGTCGAAGCACAATGACGGCTCCTTGGCACCGCGGCTCTGGAGCACCCATAAACCATTTATCTTATCTGCAATTTGCATAACTGCAGTCTGCATAAACGTACTTGTGCCGGGGTAGACAATGACGCGGCGCACGTGCGGAAAGTCCATTGCATGTACCCCGGTACGTACCTTTCGCCGCTAGCTCGACTGACCTCACTTCAAGCTTCCGACCGTGAATTGGGCCTCGAACATCAGCAACCGCCTCTCATCCCAAACAACACCATCACACACCAACCACAGCCATGAGGCTACTCAGTGCCGTTACCGTGGCGGCCCTTGCTGGCGCCACTGCCGCGAAAAGCCAAGAAGCAGCTAAGGTGTATCTGCTCAAGTCAACGTCGTCACAGTCCGAGAGCTCCTCGAGCGCACCCAGAATACCAAAGGAGGTTGCTCGCCATATCATGCTACAAAGAGTACGTCAACTCCAACGTTATTCTTGTCTTTGGCGATCTATCTGTGTCTGACTTAGTACTGCTATAGGTATCCCAGGATCCATACGGCAGCCCATTGCGAGATATCCCGAACACCATCGACGACGAGACGGCCATCTCATATATCAACACATTTGGCAAGAGCCAACCGTCTTTATTCGAGGATGAAACAAGCCGTGATCCATTACAGTTGGTGATGATACTAGAGGAGGCCGAGCATTCGGCGTACCTTCTTGATCACCTAATTGCCCACTCCGACCTCGCCTTCCTCGTGTCTAACCCTCCGTCAACAAAGGCAACTGATGGCCTGATGGGAGAATTCGCTGCCGCCGGTGCTGCTCCAAAGCAGGAGTGCAACCCCGAGAACGTCTGGAACCCAAGCGACCTCGGATGTTGGTCCGATCGCCACACAAATGCGCTGAGATTCAAGCTGAAGAAGGTATGACTGTCTCTTCCCCTGATATGTATTGCTACTACAGCTTCTAACACATTTCACGTTAAGACGGATCTGAGCACCCCCATGCGCATCCTCTCCAAGGTCCAGCAGTACACCATGACGGGACAGATGGAGGTCGTCCTCGTCATCCTCCCGGAATCCAGCCGTTCCTCCAACCTCATCTCCTGGTCCAAGAGTTCCGCCTCCAAAGCCGCGGACGAACTTCGCCGACGCGCCGAAGTCGTCCTTACTGACGAAGCCGTCTCGACTCCCAAGTCGACAGCCGCGCCCGACGCCTTCTGGGATTCAATTCGCGCCGAAAAGGGATCTACCCGGATCCCCAACTGCTTCCTCTCCGCCAACAGCTGCGAGACACGAACGAACAACTGCTCGGGCGGTCACGGCAAGTGCATCAACCGGTACAAGGACCAACCTGATCACGAGGCATGCTTTGCCTGTCACTGTATGTCGACTGTGGTGCGGGATGGTACTGAGCCTGGTGCCGTTGGCGAGAAGACGATTCGGTGGGGTGGAAACATGTGCCAGAAGAAGGACGTTAGTATTCCCTTCTGGTTGCTGACGGGTTTCACAATCACTATTGTGGGAGCCGTCACGTTTGCGATCAGTTTGTTGTACAGTGTGGGCGAGGAGCAATTGCCAGGTGTTATAGGCGCGGGTGTCAGTCGGTCGAAGTAAAGATATCAAGAGAGAAGGGAATGAGAAGATATAGCTATTATTGGCGTGACGGTGGTTGTATTCATACACTTTTGGCGTTAGTTTGGGCAAGGAAAGTCATCCATCTATCAGGAGATTGAGAGGGTAGTCTCCTTTATTTTTAGGTTGGTCCTTTGGTATCATGCTTTTATCACCTTGCACAACTAAACCGTTACATGTTCAATGGCGTCTGGGTATCTCAATTATCAAGCTCTGAACGCTTAACCAGGATGTCTAGGTTGGATAGAGTTCAGCTCATATCCTCATCGTCCTCCTCCCCCGGCCTTGTCGTAGGTGTTGTTCCAAAACTTTCCAGCCCTCGTTCAACCGGCAGGTTAGCCACCAATCCAGGCGGCATGACCGGTCGTAGAGGACTTTGTGCAGCCAGTTTCGCCGCACCAGCACCACCAAGAGCAGCCGTATGACTACCCAGTGCAGCCTGGTACTTTTCACCCGCCTTATTCAAGATTTCCTGCACTTCCGCCTCCCTCTTTTCGACCTCTCCCTTTTCCTTCTTCAGCTGTTTGATCCTTTCCCGTTTCCGCTTTACCTCGTCGTCCAACCCCTGCACCAGATTCCTCATCCTCTGCAGGCTTTCCTCCAGATCCGGCAGCGGCTTCATCTTGGGTATTACATCCGGTCCTAGCTCGTCCTCGTTGTCCAAGGAAGCTTCATGGCCCATGCCTTTTCTTCGCTGCGCGGCCTCGTACGCTTCCCTTCGCTCTATGCTGTCGTCGCTCTGCTCGCTGTCGGAGAGGGCATCTTCTGCGCCGGCAATGAGTTCTGCCATTTCTTTGCGCTGTTTCAGACGCGCCTCTCGTTCGGCTTGCCGGCCGAGGGAGAGGCCGCCGTCTTCGACAAGGTCGTCATAACCTTCTAGGAGATCTTCGTCTTCGCGGACCAGTCGGGTTTCTTTCTCCTTTTTCTTGCCTATTCGGTATTCATCGTCCTCGTCCTCGTCGTCAAGACCGATATAGTCGTCTGCCTGTCCTTGCAGGGCCAAACGTGCCCGGCGTTCCTTCTTCTCCTTGATCTGGGCTGCCGTGAGTATAGTAGCCGCTGGTGTTCGCGAGCCAAGTGCGGTGGTAGATGTTTCTTGTCCAGGTGTTGGTACAATAGTGGCGCCTTCTAACTCTGACGGGTCGATATCCATAGCCATCTGGACGTCTTCGTCCTCGATGGTCAAGTTTGACATATCGGCCGGTGTGTTCGGCGTAGAACTCTGTAGCTCGGAAAGGTACTCCTTGCTGTACCGCGGTCGATCGTCCTCACCACCCAACACTCGACTTGGGACATTTATCCTGAACGCATTGTTTTCCACTGCAGCTGCCCTCAAGCCCGCCGTTTTCCTCGTCGGCGCATCTTCTACATCTGCCTCTTCTTCAGCGCCTGGGCCAAAGGATAGGCGGGACGATGCCGGCTTCCTCTTCGTCTTGGTCGAGCCAGCACGGCTT